CACTGAAAATATGAAAGTGGTGTCTGTTTGTGGTTTTTGTCCCAAATTTATTTGTTGTAATTTTTTTCTGAACAAAGAAAACATCAAATAATGAACACCTTTTTTAAAAGCTTATCTGGTACTACAGGATGCTTAAAAAAATGAGACTACAAACTAGAGATAAAGCCTCTTTGGTGTAGGAACGTTATGTGAAGTTTAATGGGCATTTGGCAGGGAATATTTTGCTGGCTGTTAGCTAGTTGCCAAGGGGATTCACAGGATGCATGTTCTAGAATAAAATGCTCTGTGAATAAACTGGGGTCAGTTAAGGTAATTTGCATGGTGCTTTTGACTGGAGCACTAGGGTCTGAGCTACTCTGCAGTCAGAGAAAAGTGCACTGATGTGTGTCCTCTCCTTCCTCGCCCTGCATTTAAGTCCTTCTTATGTGAAGCAGTCCTAAATTCAGCTCAGCACTAGATATCTGCTTGGGAAAGCCCAAATACACTCATCACATATCCTGTACCACACAGAATTTGGCCTTCCGTTGTGCAAGAGAGAAACAGGAATGTTGTGCCTTAGTGATCCAGGCTGTATCACTAACCAAGAAAATAGGTTTCACAGTGAGAACCCCTTTCTCCTATCCTTCTAAGTAAGGATAGATAAAAGTGGAAGGATTCTGCTGATTCTCATGTTTTCTTGCTTGTGCTGAAGAGGAGATATGGTCAGCCTTTCTCTAGGGAGGATGTTATAGGGACATGGATAGTACCTGAGTCAGATTCTTTTTACAGTGAGGATCTCCTCTTTGACCCAGTGGTAGGAGAAGGGAGGTCTGTCCTTGACCTTGCAGTTTTCATGCTCAAGAGGGCATCTTTTTGCTAGTCCTATGTGGCTCCTTTGGAATTGAACTATAATTTGCAAATAGTATTGTATGAATAAATAAAGGAAATATTAAAAAGTAACAAAAAGCTATTACCAATATTTAATCTGATTTTTGTGAGCAGCATTATTTTCAGTATATTATGCTGAAGAAATGTGATAAATAACTCAGGGTCATTATGTCTGGATACAGCATACATAAAATCCAAAAATCTCTGTTTGACTTATGGGGCACATTTAAGGTTCTTAACCATGAATGTCTAGTGTCACTGAAGATGTTGTAGGGTATGTGTGCTTGGTAGGTCGGATATGGGGACCACAGTAGATCTAGTGCCTCTAGAGCTGTGATTAGTTGATTTACTCTGGATTGTCTTTGACATTTTAGTCCTTATACAGAAAATCTGTATGTGTGTCAGGACACTCAACCCTTTCTGAAATAAGGTTCCTCAACATCTAAATACTAGTAGAGAGTCACTTAAGAAAATCTCTACCATAGCACTTTAGTACAAATGTATGCCATATGCAAACTCCATTGAACAGAATAACATGAGAGTGTAATTTGGTCTGCTAATTAAACCTGAGAAGGAGACTGCGGCTGGACGGCAGCTGTGGGAAGAAAGAATGAACGAACTCAAAGTTTTTGTTCATCTGGTCATGCTTTTCATCCTTGTTTAACTATCTGTGCATATGCTCGTGGTGCTCTTTAAAATGTATCCTGCAAGTGAAGGCAGATAGTGAGGAACTGCTGTTTCTATCCTCCCGCATGGTTTCATCCCACTGTGAAGGCCAGGCTTAAGGTGATGGGGTACCTGGCCTTGCATTAGTGCCAACTGTTTTCCTTGGTCTTTCTTTGGAGGAGTAATCACATTAATTTATTCATGGAATGTCATGATGCTCAGTTCTGAGGAAGAGAGTGTGCTTGCCTTTTGTACCCTGCTTCTGCTTTGTATATTTTTGTGGAGTCCATGTGTCTACTGTCTGATAGCTAATCCCATGGATGGAGTGATTTAATATAAGGAAAGAATGATATGGCTGAATCCTGCCCATTATGCCCTTAGGAAAGAGATTTTTATTTGCTGTCAAATGTCACTGATGGAGCATTTGGCTTCCTTTCATCAAGTGACAGTTGCAGTTTTAAGAGTACAGTACAGAGAGCCACTTTAAAGCCAAACATCTCAATTCACAAGTGAGGGAAGGATAAAGTTGTGCAGCTGGAGGATGCTATTTCTTCTTGGCAGCTGTCATTGAAAAGGCATGTGAATGCTCTACATGTCAGGTGTCATAAATTCTCCATCCAGAATTTGTCACGTGCCTGGTTATATCATGTGAAGTGTTGGAAAGAAGTTTCTGAACACATTAAAATTTTTCTTTAGACAAGCTTGCCTTGAAATTTGCTATACTGAAATTATAGGGAATGAGAAATAAATATAAGTGAAATCTGCAGCAACCTCTACATGTTTTACCAGAGTCACAGAGCCTTTTTTGTACTCAGATCAAAATGTGTGACTTCCTGAGGAAAAATGTTCGTGACTAATCCTCTGTCCTTGCCTTGGCTCCCCAAATCCTTAGATGTACCTACAAGGCGACACCTGCACTTTTTAAGGACAGATGCATGCATGCAGTGGTGGCCATGAATTCAAATGGGGAAAAAACACTATTCCAATATAAGATGAGACTTTACTCTAGGAAAATGTTGTATTTTGTGCCTACTGTATACTCTATTTAGTCCTTAAGTTTTTTTCTTTCTTTTTCTCTTTTCTTCCCATTCTTCACTGGGAGCAGACATCGTCACTGGGATAGAAGAAAAGAGGAACAACTGAAGCCGTGAAGAGTATCCAGGTCTTTTCACTTGCTTCACACTCCTGTTTCTCTTAACAGATCCTTGTTTGGAGGAGTGCAATGGTTGAGACTGCTGCTGTGTGTAGGGGGACTGGAACCTCTGGCTGTAAGCAGGATCCCAAGTCTCCGTTGTGTGATACATTAGGTATCCCAGATTGCCTATGGAGTTGTTCCCAAGTTTGCATGTATATAGTTTGATCTCCAGAAAGTAGATGGGTGCTGAGTTGCACTCATTTTGCCCCTTTCTTTCTACACTGTATTTGATGTGATCTGTGCTTTACAGCCACTGTGCTATCCATGCACAGGAGCACTTATGATGAGTCACTAAAGACATGAACTTGGGAATTGTTTAGGTCTGATGCCTGGTGACAGCTGGGGTAAGGAAAGGGTGAGGTTTGAATCTTATTTAGTGCTCTATTTGGCCTTGGACTCTTGTGTTAACATACAGGTTTTCTGTAACGTCCTGTTCCTTTTCAGTTGTCACTGGTTGGCTTTCTCTGCGTGTCAGTTCTGTCAACTATTGAAATCAGAGAGTCTCTTCCTATTCCAGCTGGCAGTTGCCAGAGCTATGTGAAACAGAGCTGGATATACAGAAGAACACTTTAATTGTTGTTGTGTCAGGTGAAAATGTAACAATAGAAACATACGGGTGTTTATTGATGCAGGGGCCCCCAGGCACTGAGTGCTGGAATTCTGCTCAAAGAAAGCAAGACAGATGGGAAGAGAAGAAAAATCCCCACCTGTCAAGAGTAGCATCATCATAGGTGAGTCTAAAGAATAGGAATAGCATCTTCTTCCGTTAGTGCCTTTGCACAAAGAATCCTTTGTTAACACATGCCTGTTGTTTGTTTAATTGATTTTTAGATTAAGATTATGAAAAAGTTACTTACAATGTGCCTCACTGCATTGAGTTAATACTAGATTTTATGAGGTAAGGAGTACTGCACCCCATTGCACCAGTGTCCCTTCTGTACTTATGGTCATAGGAGATTGAAAGAGTTGAGACCAAGACCACTGAGGAGAGTGTGCTACGGAAGTATCTGCAACATCTTGCTCATTTTGCATTGCAGATAACAAGCCTGTAAATATGGTGGATGACTGGAGTAATCATCTGCACAAAAATCTCCGAAGGAAAACTCATGATTTCACTTCATGTCTCACCAGTTTATAAATGGTTAATAATTGCACATAGAGACTTACTTTTGATATTTCCAAAGCGTGTTCTATACCTCATAAATCTTAATATAGTAGTAATGATTGATAAATACTGCATACAGATTGGATCATAAGATTTCTTTCCCCATCTGTATGAACATAAATGTTCTGACTGCCTGACCACATGTCTGGTCTTAGCAATTTTCTGTGACACATTTTTATTGTATGTTGAGCAGAATGTGACTTTTAAAATGAAAGCTTGGTTTGATTTTCATACAGGAGTAACAATGATAGGAAGAAAGGGATACAGAGATGTCAATCTTTGGAATATAATGAGAATAGGCTACATTTGTATTATTTCCTGTGCTTAAGTTTCATTACAGTAATTTTCCCAATGAATACATTGCATAGTACGCTATTTCCTCTCCTCATTACCATCTTTGTCATGCAGAGGCAGTTATAGAATCTTAATGATTCTGTTATTTAAAACTTCTGATAGTCTCAGTATTTTGAATGACCTCTCTCTTTCACCTCCTCTCTAAGGTTACTGAAGTTGGGATTAGGAGTTTCTTTCAAATAAATTACTCAACAAAGAAAAGGGCAAGGTTCAGATTGCTATTGTCACAATTACAGATATTATAACAAGGATGAGAGGAAAAAAAAGAAAAAGAACAATCTGAATCTTCACTAGTTTTCCACCACAAAGCAGAGCAAACAAAAGTAATTGTTGTGTGTGAGTGATTCAAAGCTCACTGAAAATCATAGATCCCCACATACCCATGCTACGAGATAATTCAGGCTTCAAATACTATCAAATCAGGGGTAGTTCTGGATTTGGGCTAAAAAAATCACTGTCTAAACCACCGGTAATCACTGACACTGTGATTTTTTAAAGTTTTTCCATCTTGAAAAATGTACAAATGTGATTGGTCATGTGCATTTGAAATATTTCAGGAATGTTAATTTATAAGACTTCTTTGTATTCCAATGAGAGGAGAAGAATAGATCAGCCTACATTAGGATTCAAGGCGCTGGCCAGTGATATGGATTGAAATAGGATGCAGACTGCTTGGGATCCATAGTCCCTGTGGGAAAATTGCTATGTGGAAATTACCTAGTAAAACCCAAACATTTGTGTCCAGATGCAAAGTATGTTACCACACAGTGTGACTGAATGGACAGTGCCAGCCAAATAATGCTCACCATTTAAAGGCGTGACTGAGTAGTCTGCAGTGCTTCACAGACATCTGAGATAGTCAACCAAGAACATTAAATCATAAAAGCCAAGATTAAGGATTCAGTACATTCCAGTATCATGAAGACCCTGAATGTGTTCACTGACCATTCTAAATGGTAAATACACTTCACTCACATGCCCTGTACTTTCTATAAAACTTGATTTCCTACAGTGGACAGGGAGATTGCATGAGAGGCTCATGGAAAGTGCACAAAGAACAAATATAGGCAAAGGATTTACCTGCAAAGACATTTTAGAGAGCAGGGATGCTGTATTTACTCACACTCTCCAATCTTCATCTGAATAAATAAAGCAGTGTCATGAGGCATGCTGCAATACTGATAATGAGTTTTATACTCATTCATCCTGAGAAGTTTCAACAGATATAGTTTGCCTGTCAAATGGATTTAAAATTGTATTGTCACTGCCTTGCTTTCTGCACTGATTGCTTTTGTATTGCAGCTCCATGCCTCAATAGACACTTCGCATGTCTATATCTGACACTTTGTTCACATGAGTCTCCCTATAATCTATAATATCAAACTCTTTGTTTTAATACTAAAATTCAACATGTGCTCTTACAATGATTATTAACTTAGGGATATGGCAGCCAAAAGTATTTTGCTTTCTGTTCTCTGTTTTGGTTGTTGTTTTTTTTCTTTCTGTGTACGTTGCATGATAGACAACAATCCACTTATTTCAAGATCTCAGCTTAGTGAAGGAAACATTTCAGAGGGGATGTTGTGGATACAGCTGCAGACACTTCCACAGGTTTGATTACCATGCTGCACACAGCTATAATAATAAACCTTGGCTACCCTTGGCTTAGCTTTTATTTTAAATTCATAGGATCTGAATCCTAACTTTTGGCACAGAGTGTGATGGCAATTTAACAAGTCTTCTAAGCATGTATTCCATCTTAAACACATTACCTTAAGAAAGAATGATAAATGTTTTGCAGGACTGAGATTTTAAGACTTGCTATAATATAGTACAGTTGGATTTTTATCAGAAGTGAATCAACCTCTCTACAATTCTGAATGTTTATTCCTTTTCTTATACTATTTGTAGGTATTTCAAACAGGTTCGGCTCAGTTTCCTAAAGAAAGGAGGCTTATGAAATCATTGCTGAATTAATGTGTGCATGGGTACGTGCCTTTTACTGTTCCTTTCTTTCATCTCCTTATAACCACTGAATTTCTTGGCCTGTTCCAACCAACCTGAGAGAAAAACAGTAATCACAGAATCATGAAATCACAGAATGGTTTGGGTTGGAAGGGACCTTAAAGATTATCTAGTTCCAACCCCCTTGCCACGGGCAGGAACACCTTTCACTAGACCAGCTTGCTCAGGCTCCATCCAACCTGGCCTTAAACTCTTCTGCAACTTCTCTTGGCAACCTGTTCCAGTGCCTCAGCACCTTCATAGTAAATAATTTTTTCTTAATATCTAATCTAAACCTCCTTTGTTTCAGTTTGAAGCCATTCACCCTTGTCCAGTCACTACATACTCTTGTAAATGGTCTCATCTTTCTTGTAGACACTCTTCAGGTACAATTAGGTCACCACAAAGCCTCCTCTTTTTCAGGCTGAACAATCCCAATTCTCTCAGCCTTTCCTCGTAATCTCAAAGATAAATTTCCAAACACTTTATGAAATATGTAGCTGGATGGAGACAGAAAGAAACGTCTTCCTCTGGGCCTGAGGAAGAGCTGCAGTGTGAGCATAGACCTGGTGCCTGAAAAGATACCAGAGAACCTGATTGTAGAACCCAAATCCATAGGACATCATCTGTACTGTTGCTTTGTTTTCCCTGTTGTTTCATTGGGTTCTAGGGATGAGTACAATTTCTTTAGAAAGGTGTTATGGTGAGAATGGCAGGTGTTTTCTATTTATAGCCTCCTAATAAAAAGAAGAATAATTGAAGTTTTTCAGTCCAGTATGAACAAATATATCAGTGGACTGTGCCTATGATATTCTAATTTCTGAAAACAAATACTTTACCAGGGATTAGAAGTGATAGGGAAAAGGAATAAAAAGAGGCAAAGGTGAAATTGGACTAGGAGAGCTACTTCATTCACCAAATGAAGTTTGAGCTTTGTTTCTTGCTTTGGTTTGTTACTTAGTTTTTTACACTTAAGAATTTGATAAAACCTCATAAAGGTAAATTATACCTCATGTCTTATGCCCAATTCTGACTTCTGACCTATCTTCCACTCTGCCAACAAGGAAACTACAGTACAGGGAGATCAAAAAGATGACAGAAGAAGGTCTCTTGACTGAAGCCAAAAAGGTGACGACCCACCCTTAAGGGAAAGGAAGCAGCTAAGATTTGTAAATATTTGTGGTCAAAAGGAACGACAAAAGTCAGAGGGTCTGCAAACAATCAGGAAGTTTTATTAGTAAATTACACACTTGTCATGGAAATTTGTACGTTAGTCCCTGACCTACTATATAAGCACACAGCAGTGGGTTTTGGATAAAGGGGTAGAGTGAAAGGGAAGGGAAAAAGGAAGATATGAATTCAAGGGGGGAGACAAAGAAAGAAAGAAAGAAAGAAAAGAAAGAAAGAAAGAAAAGAAAGAAAAAGAGCTCATCACTCCTGGTTCCAGCATCAGTCCAGCTGATAAGCATTGATCCAGCTGTGTTGGTCTGGCCAATGAGATGTCCAGGGTCCTGGAGATGCCACCCAGGCTTGGAGGGTACCATTTTATGGACAGTTTTCTCCACCGCAAAGATAGACAAGGATGAGAGGGAGAAGAGCAGAGGGACAGAGGGACAAACACGTTCTACAAGCTAGTTCTAAGCTTTGAGGGTAACGTCTCTATAATTCTCCACACCTTAATGTACAGTCTGATTACCAAAATGAAAAGCAGAAAGATTAATATTAAAAATTAATCACAGGTTGCAACATTATGTTAAAAATTCCCATTGCTTTTGGCAACCACCCAAAGAAAATGTCCCACCAATGGTGTTCCCCATCTTTCTTCACTCATTCCATCAGCTGGTGAATTGCTTCCACACCGTGATGAACAGTAATCAAAGTCTTCTGTCTTTTGTAGGTTCTACCAATAGCAACAGGCTGGTATCAGGGTGTAGTCAGATTTCAGAACTGGTAAGAGGTAACCAGAGCTGAATAATTAAAATCACAACCCTTGATCTGAACACATTTACAAACAGAGAAATAAGAGTGATTACTTGTATCTACAGTAAGGTTGTCCACAAGTACAAAATCACTACAGGTTCTCATACAGCCACATCCATTCCACTGGGCCCATACCCTCTGCTCCAAGGGACAAAGTATGGCTTTGTTGTGATTTAATCCTGACATGAGGATTTGATATATACCAAAGCACTCTGTATTGTTTAAAAAAAAGCATGTCTCCAGAGAACACTGCTCTGAAGAAGCCCACTTGGGTACCAGAGGCATCATAGTCATCCTAATAAAATGGTCTTTCTAAGCCTAAATTACCTTCAGCAAGTGACTTTAAACTGTAGTATATATTATAGTTATATCCGCAGTCGGGATGAGGTTAATGATCTGACTCCAGTATTTATACCTTTTAATGTATCTGAATACACTATTCAGAATTTTGTTTATTGTTCTAACCCCTGGATACAGGCTTTTAAAGATGTACAATATAAGAAACCTAACACAACTCCACCTCTTTCCTTAAAGAAAGATTACATGTAAAGAAAAAATCCCTTATACTGAAATGGAAACATAAGCCAGAAACCATATATTTCACATTTTTAATTCTTCTTTGGGGGTGTGCTAGCACCACAATAACCTAAAACAAATTTTAAAACTTAATAAAGCACACTGTTTATTTGTAGGCAGAAAATAACAATTCATGTTTTTCTTTGAGGTCAGTAGGTCTTCTGATTTCCATATGATCCTGAGCATCTTCTGAGCATCTACTGAAACACCAGAGAATTAAGTTAGTGTCAGGCAAACATATTAATGTCCAGTAAAGCAAAAATGCTAGTGGTCTTTATGGGTTCCTTTAAAATGGGAGCTTTAAAAATTCCTAAGAAAATTGGAAAACAAGAAGAATGTCAAAGAATCACTTAGAAGAAAGATTTTATTTTCCAAATTCACGTAAGGAAGTAGCATTTATAATTGTTAATCCTTTGTTTTCCATCCCCCTAACTAAATTCAGTCATCTACTTAACTCACACTTTAGGATTTGCATTTGAGCTTGATGGCAATAATAATAAGTGAGATAAATCAAATTAATATCCTTGCAAATACAGTTAGTTTAATAACTTTGCCATTTCCATTCTCTTTTTATCTGCATTATCACAATTTGATAACATACTACAGTAAACCAATGCCTCTATGAACTTCTTTCTGCACCCAGCATGGAGAGATTAGAATTTCTAATTTTATTGCTCAGATTGTCATATCTTGCCCTATACAGCACCTGTTATTGCAAAAGGAAGCCAGATGCTGTGATGTAAAGAGGAATGACATTTCTCAGAGTTTGTATGTATGTACTTCTGGGGTGAAATGGAGACCTTTTTCAAAGCTACCAGCAATATCATACAACCTTTAAAACAGAATGCCCACAGAAGCTGGATCAGGATGTAAGAGTTTTCCTGGGATCTTGGGGCTTCCAGGACAGACAGAACATGTGCTCAAATACAGAGACATCAATACTCGTGTATATTCAGATTTTTTTGATACTTATACACTCTCATTGAGATCTGCTCTGCTTTTATAGTCTGAGTATTCAGGCTTTATGAGGATGGAATATGAAGGGTCTGCATAAGACAAGCTTGTTTTTTAACCTAGGGCCACTGAGCAGGACTGTGAAGCTTATTGCAACCATTGCAAACAAACTGCAGCCTCTGTGCTGGAGTTACTGGACTCAAGTCAGGGCAAGTCACACACTTGTCAAGATGATCTTTTCTATTAGGTGTCATGAAGAGCTTTTCTGTGATTTTTTTTATGTCTCTGAACCGAACACCATTATATACATATGTATATACAGAAACACTCCAGACTGGGATGTCCTTCTGAGCCTAAAGGACATCCCCAGATATCTGGGGGAGTTGTGCAGTAATAATCATGTTGGATCAGCAATCTCTTAACACTAGAAGTGTAAGCCACCATGTCCATAATTGTCCTCTGTGTGTTTACAAAAAGATTAATATATAGAGGCACAAACCTTTCAAGCCCATGTGTGGGCTGGTTAATAGTTTACCAAGTGTTATCAGCTGGCTTGGTCCTCCCACTTACCCTTGTTCCTGCTGCCAAGTGTGCCTGGAGCAATTTTCAGTGGAAGGGTTATTTATTATATGAATAGCTAGTGCTTCTGTCTTCAGTGCCATTTCAGGTGCACTAGAAGGGAACAAGGCATTTGAAATAAAAACCTGAATCCCTCACTCCATCCCAGACTTCAACATGACCTTGGTCAAATCTTTGATGCGTAGCTTTGCACATATAGTTGTGTTCAGTGCTGAAACTGAACTGGCTGTGGGAGTGGAGTTGACAAATTTGAGTTAGGTGCCTAATGTATGGGGAAATTTAAGCCCCTCAGAAAGGGATTCCTTTTGTTTATGCCTCCAAGTCAACTCATTAGAACACATAATTACATCCTTTTCTCTTTTGAAGGTACAGAGAAAGGACAGGGACAACAATAGTGCCCATCTTTTATATAATGGTTGAGTGGTGAAAGCCTTCCATCAGGGAGCAGAACACCTGGGTAAACAGATTTTGTAAGTGTGTATAAATTTTTGTCGTGATAAAGCATAGCAAAGACACAAAATAAGTGGGAAGGTAAAATTCATATAGAAGGCTGAACACACTAGTTTTTTTTTTATTAATTTCAGTAGTTTCTCCTATGAGCACAATGTCACAATTTATTACTTTCGGTGTAAATAGTCTTTTTTATTCAGCAGTAAGAGGGAGGGGGCATAAAAAATTTGGATACAAAAGCACTACTTTTTATACTAATACGACTCCAGAAACATTAGAATATTACTGTGCTCATGTACACTTTGCTGAAATAATTTTGGTTTCATCAAGGCCCTCCTGAGGTAGCTCTGACAGGCTATTTAACTCTGCAGAGCTCTGTGACAGCTGAAGCTAAGCACATTCAGCCTTTGTAAAAGACCTTAAGCATACCAATTATGGAAGACATGGAAAATAAAGAATTGTAGATGTTAAAAAAAATAAAATCCACTATTTAGGATTTTTTAATGGATCATTAATATAATGGTTAAGGTTTTTTAAGTCTTTTATCTCTTTTTCTGCCAGACCATTTTCCTGTTTTAGAATGTGGGATTTTTGCCACTTTTTTTAGTGTTGCCTGTAAAATTCATTTTTAAATATCTCCTCCTCCTGCCTTTCCTCTGCGTTGTTTCTATTCTGCATCGCTTCTTTAATTTGATGCTTGAAATTATGAAGAGTTAATGGCTCAGGTAGTGACGTCCATTATTTTCCTGGGTAGAGGCAGTGCAAGGCCCTGAAGACTCATTTCTGTCTCTCAGGCAGGGTCTCTTTTTGCACAAATTTATTCCACGTTGAAAATAAGTCATAAGCAGAGTTCATAAATTAATGAGAATTCATAAGTCTACTGAAAAACATTCTCCAGGCCGTCACACAAGACCAAAGACTAAAATGTGAAGAGTTTTTTTCAAAACTCTCTGTAATTTGGTGATTGACCTGAGAATAAACACCAGGAATCTCTATTCCCTTCATGATCACACTTACTTGCTAAAATAAATTCTATAAATATATCTTGACTTCGCATGTGTTTTGAGACTTTAATAAATAAAAATATTTGAGATTGAGAGAAAAAGTAATATAACAGAATTGCATTGGACACTAAATTTCTCTTATCCTAGCAGTGTGTGGCTTAGACAATAAATACTGTCCCCCAAAGGTAATAATTTAATAAATATCCATTGCTTCACAATTTGTGATCAGTCAAGGTAATACAAATTCACAGAATGAGGAATGGCTTGATTGGTAGCTCGAATTTTTCCTGAAGAGATTTAAAACCATGTGCCCCTCTCATTTGACCCCATGTGAACCTATTGATCTATATATAGCCTTCTCTGAGCCTCAGTGGCCTGAGAACAAGTGAGTCAATATAGAATGTATTTTGATTTGGATGGCGCTCTTTGAGAGCGAGAGAAATGCCTATATGTTGTAACTAGATCATAGACCTTAACTTTTTGATTTGGAAACAATCACAGACCTCACTGAAATTCCTGGGCATGACAATCACTCTCTTTTAAGGTAAATGAGAACAGTGATACTAGGTATTAAGCAGCAACTGACACAATGGAATTGTCACTATGAACACTGACAGCAGATCCCAGTAGCCCCAAATTTCTGGAAAGCCGTCAGAGCCTAAAGATCTAATGAATAGAGCAGAGAATCAGCAGCCATAAAAAAAAAAAAAACAAGCAGAAAGGACCAGAAAAACAGGTAACAGAGAAATATATGTGGCATGACTGAAGGAAAGCCAAAGGGGAAAAAAGCAGCTTTCGAGGCAGAATGATTGTTAAAAAGACAGATTTAGAATGCTTAAAGACAAAAAGAATGACATTCTATTGCTCTTCCTTCTGCTTCAGGGATTTATGCTTGTTCCTAGTAAAGAAAATGGGTTGTACCAGAGCAATCACAGACTCTCTTATCAATTTATCCCCCTAACGAAACAATTGTGAAAACCCCAAATATCTGGTTAGCTACTTGGATAAGAAGAATAAGGGTGTAAAAGACAGAACAATATTTCCAGCTGTGGAATTTGCTAGATAGGCAGTGAAGTGTGTTGTTCAGCTGAGTTTTGCATAAGAAATACATTTATGTTGCATTTCTAATGCAAATTGCTGGTATTTTACATGGACAGAATGAATCCTTGCTGGCTTGATCTTCAGCTTTTCAAATCAATAGAAGGCTCTAATGTATTTTCAATAGACTTCGGAGAAGGCCCTTCCTCCCATGCACTCAAAATGATTTACAATCAATTTATGGCAAGAATCCACTTCAGAAAGCCTGAAAACTACAAATATGCAGTTTCATGGGGAAGCTAGCATC